CATCTTGGAAAAAAAATTGGACACATCTGCCATAGAAGAAAGCTTATCAGAACAATTACCATGAAATTATTTGTAGAAAAAGCACAGGAAAGCTACATTACAGCTCTGGGAAAGTGACTGCAGCTGGGATGAATAACATCAATAATTGATCTATCCCATAATTACTATGGATCCATAACATTGGTGATTCTTCTTTGTATTTTATCAAGAATCTCTAAACTGTTGCCATATATGGTTTGGAGCCCCCACTGCTTGACTTAAGGTCCTCAACAAAATTCAGAGATGGATATGCAATGTGATTGGTACTGATCTGGCATCTCATTTACAGTCACTTTCTCACAGACATGACATTGGTTCCCTCTGTCTTTTCTACAAATACTTTCATGGTAACTGCTCCAATGAGCTACTAGTGCTAGTTCTTAAACTGCATGAATTTAAACATGCTACTAAGTTGGCATCTCAGTTCCACCCATTCACTGTTGAAATGGTTAAACGTAGACATCTCTTCTTCTATAATAGTTTCATGTCTCACACTTCCCATTTGTGGAACTCCTTTCCTCTTACTTGCTTCTTTGATAGCTATAATCTCCAACTATTCAAATGCAATGTCAATCGACATCTCCAAATGCTTTGCTTTGTTCCCCATCCTTCTCTCCATCCTTTCCTCTATCATGCCTCTTTACTCTTGCTTCCACTCGCTGTAACCCCTTGTGTGCTAGTGGCACTTCCACCTTACTTGGGGTGAAATGCTTAAAAAAATAAAAAATAAGCACCAGACCATATGTGGCAGCAATATTCAAGGCATAAATGAATGGTAGACTTATAAATATGTAAGGCAGATTCAGGTGAGAAAAATTGTTTTATTTAATGATAGATATTTTTTCTTTGTTGTATTTAATAAAACATGCTTAATGATACCTTTTTTTAATATCTGTGCATGTCTCAGTGTGTTTATATGTGTGTGTGCATGTGTTTATTTCTTATATTAGTCAACACATGAAAATACACCTCAAAGTATTGAAATTCTTGTCTGAATGTATGTATCATAAATCATATTAAAACATTTTTGTTTTAATATTAAACAAATATTGAATCCATTATGCTAATTTTCAAATTCCTGAATCATTTCTGTCATATTTTTCTTCAAATTTATTCCAAAAGAATGTGTCCACTGTTTTGTAGTGAAAATTCCTAATAGAGATCTGTACCGTGATGTGGGAATTTTTTTGTGATATGACCTTTGGGTAATGTTGTGTCAGTTTCATTTTTTATGGTCAAGCCTAACACCAAGTCCAGTCTCTTGAATATTTCTTAAATGAATTTTGATGCTTTGAATGTAGTTCTTTTTAATCTTTTTCTTTTGTGGATTTTTTTGTGGAAGGATATTTCAGTTTTTAGACAAACCTAAGATGATTTGCAGGAAAGACGTATATATAGAAAGATAGGATAGAAATAGGAAGATAAGTAATAAAGACAAAAAATAAAGAAAGAACAACTAAAAAGATGTCAGTCTTTCTTTATTGTTTTCTCACATTTAAAGGATCTTCTGACCACTTATAATTCCTACATTTCTTAGCCTCTCCTCATTTGCTTAAGGCTATCTATTATGTGCATTGAGGACAGAACACTCCCTTAGGGCAAAAAATATGTCTTGTACGAAAGTGGATGCTATTAAATCCTTTTTGTGTGAAAACATATTTATTTTTCACTCATAGCTGCTTCTATTTTTTCATCTATTTTTCATTCTGAGCTGCTTTTTTTTTTCTTTCTTTTTCTGTTTTCATTTCAGTGGTGTTTTTATTCTCTTCTCAATATTATATTCTGTTACTTCACTTGGAAGCAATCAACTTCTCTTTCATTGATTCATCATCATCATCATCACCACCACCACCACAATTAACAACATCACATCATTGTCATTCAGTTTCTTCTCGTATTTATTTGTATCCCTACATCTTAATTTTCAATCACCACGACCAACCCCAACAATTTCCCCCCCTTTTTCTTTTCACCTTTATGAAATGATATATTCACCTCTTTATCCTATTTTTTTATTTCACACATGTCTTTCATCTCCACCTCTTTTTTTTCTCTGATTCCTGATTATCTTTTTGGTCCTGCTTTATGATTGATATACACATGGATTTCTAGCTGGAACCAGATATCCATGTTTTAACCCAGGTAAAAATCTCAAGAACTTAATGGCTGTTGTTCAATACTTGAGAAATTGTCCATCAGTACTTGAGAAATTGGCAGTAGATAATTTTCTTTATGTTTATTTCATCTAATCATTAACCTGACAAAAGTTTGGTCTTATACTAAATGAAACTAAATTTAATAGGTATCAATTTCTGGCCGTTGTTTCTATATGATCATCTCTGATCTCACTCTTCTTTACACTCTTACTCTTCAAATGATTTTCTACTCAACTTTTCCAATGTCCTTCAAAATTTGAAACTTTCTTTATCTTCTTCTTCTATGTGCTATATCCCTTCATGATGTTGGCAATCGTGGCTCTCAACAATTTCCTGTCCTTTGTAAGCTCTTAATAAAATTTTGTCTTTTTTGTTATCTCTCCTAAATTCCATTTTGCCATCCACTTACTCACGCTCACTAGGTAGATTATGCATTACTTTCTTTTGTTCCTCTTGCCTTCAATCTTTCTTGTGAGTATTAAATTTCCAAGCTCTCTTTCCTGATTATGTCTTAGAAATGTCAACCACCCGTTCTCATGTTAATTATAAGTTTCCTTTTTGTTCCCATTTTCTCTAAAACTTCTTCGTTGCTCACATGTTTGATCCATGGTATTTTCAGTATCCTTCTGTAGAATTACATTTCTGCTGCTTCAAGTCTCTTCTTCATCTGTGAAAAGCTTGTGAAGTATTCTCTGCCATATAGAAGGACTGATATTACATAACAATTCAGTACACTTTTCTTTGTTTCTAATGAAATTTTCTTGTTCATAATACTTTGCTTAGATTTTTTCACTGTTATACTTTTTTCATTATCATAGTTTTCCTATTTTTGAAACAATATCACATTTTATTATCAATGTATTCGTTTTTCATTATCACAGTTTTCCTGTTTTTTTAAACTGTATGAAGCCAGGTGTAAACAAATGGGAGCTCCATCAGACAATCAGACTAATGAGCGATATACACAGCAGAATCAGAATGGAAATAAAACAAGAACAGTGTGGGCTCGTCAAAGACAATGGAACCACTACAATCAACCTTCTCATCCAGGGTCAGTTAATATCAATCCTACTTATCTTCCACATATGCATGTCCTGCCTTCTTCTCTTCCACCCATTACAACAATCTTAGTAACTCTCTACCTTGAGTGACACTTGGGTCTTGTATTGGGTAAACTAAAGTGTCAAAAAACACTAAAAACATCTTGTTCAAGAATTTAGAGCAGTTCTCTACATTTTCTTGACATCATCATCAACTTTGAAAGGACTTATAATTTTACAATGTCTAAACATTACTCCAACTCTATTTTGGGAATTTATTTATAAATAAAATGTATTTTGCACTTTTTTAGATAATAAAACCTACCATCCAGAGACAAACCTTTTTAATAAGAATAGACGTCACAAGCTCAAACCTTACACAATATATAAACAATGTTTACAACAATGTCAAGCATTGTTATTTTAAGGAACATACAGAAATAAAAATTCTCAGGTTGAGTTCTTTATACAAACTCCTAAGCTGAAGGCTTCCAATCACAATTCTTATCCTTGATAAAGTGAGAAATAGTAAAACCTACCATACAGAAACAAGTTAAACTTTTTTAAGTAAGGATAAATATCATAAGTTGAAACTTACATAATATATTGATTATGTAAATATATCTGAAAAAAAATTACCAACATTGATTGGTTAATACCAATTTTATTGTGAAAACATTGACTTATATAATAAGATCTGATAATGTTGATAAATGATAGGTTCATATAATGAAAGTTGAAAATAAACATTCAGAAACTCTAGAGTTTATAAACAAATACAAGGAAGTAAACATGTTGGAATTTAAAAAAAAACAACTTATGATGGATGTTTTTGTTGGTATAATATAACTTGGTAACCCTCAAAAAACTTATCATCAACATTTTTAATAAGGAGGAATATTATAAGCTAGAACTGACATGGTTCACTGCTAATATAATTAAAAGTATATCCTAAAATGTCATCAATTTTGGTTGGTTAATACAATACCAGTTTTATTATGAAAACATTAACTTGCATGATAAAAGTCTGACATAGTATAGTAATTCTGAGGTGGACCAAATTGTGATTGAATAACAAGAGAAAAATGATCCAAGACTTTATGTCCACTAGAAACTTCTATCAATATTTAATGTAAATATGTCTTGAATACTTTCTTATCATTGGTTGGGTAATAGCAATTACATTATTATTATTGACTTGCAGGATAAAATCTAACATCCTGTAGTACTTCTGAGATTGATCAATTTGTTACAACAGAAAAATGCTCCCCGACTTCATGTTCAGTAGAAACTTCTATTAGTATCTAATGTAAATATGTCTTAAACATTTTCTCATCATTGGTTGGGTAACACCAATTATATTGCGAAAACTTTGACTTTCAGGATAAAATCTGATATCTTGTAGTAGTTCTGGGATAGATCAATTTGTTGTAAAAATGATCTCCGACTTTATGTCCAGTAGAAACTTCTATTAATATTTAATGTAAATATGCCTTGAACATTTTCTCATCATTGGTTCATAGCAATTTTATTATTATTTGTAAAGTATTTAAATATTTTCAGATTGTAAGAAATTTTTGGTGGTATGTAATTGTGATTTGGTTATACAATTCGTACTAATTTACTAAGGGAAGAAGAGATGGATTCATACATTTCCCAAGTGTATTTGCACATGTGAATATAACAAACTCAATGGGAATTAAAACTTGGCTCTCTCATTAACAATTTCAGGCCATTATCCATTACATCAGCTGCACATTGAACCTTACAGCATTTGATATTCCCAAGTGGTCACCCATCTAGGTAGTGACCAGGCTTGATATTGCTTAACTTTAGTGATCATACAAGAACTGGCATTTTCAACTTGATGTGGCCATAAGCCTTACATCATAAAATGTGACACTGTGTTTTAATTTGTGTTGTAGATAAATCTGTTACTTAATAACAACAACAACATAAAACTGATCCCCGAATTTATGTCCAGTAGAAACTTATATTAATGTTTAATGTAAATATGTCTTGAACATTTTATGTACATTGGTTGGCTAATAGCAATTTTATTGTGAAAGCAATGAGTTGCAATATAAAATCTGACATATTGTAGTAAATCTGGGTTGGCTCAAAAGAAAACTAATCCCCGTATAATGTCCAGTAGAAACTTGTATTAATATTTTATGTAAATATAACTTGAAAAATGTCCTCATCATTGGTTGGTTAGTCAGTCAGTTATGTGCCATGTGTGATACACGCTTAGGTGATCATGTATCTTTTGATACATGACTGATGAGGCAGATTTTTTCCCTGCAATAGGTTGCCATTTCTTTCTGTGTTAGACCAGTTTCCATCCAAGGCTATAGAACCTGGTCTGTCCTACTATTTACCCATAGGTGGGGGAAGAAGAAGAGGATTCATACCTTTCCCAAGGGTATTAGCAGGTAAGTGAATGTAATGAATTCAACTGGAATTTGAACTTGGCTCTCCAATTCCTCAATCCGAGCCATTATCATCAATTGATTAAGGAATGCCAACTGTTCTCTTATAAGGAAACATCTAATATTACCATTCAGTCAAATTAAGTGGCACACATGATACATGCTTAGGCGATCATGTATCTTTCGATACATGGCTGATGAGGCAGATTTTTTCCCACAATAGGTTGCCATTTCTTTCTGCAGTAGACCATTTGCCATCCAAGGCTATAGAACTATCTGTCCTACTATTTACCCATAGATGGGGGGAAGAAGAAGAGGATTCATACCTTTCCTAAGGGTATTAGCACATAAGTGTATGTAATGGATTTGACTGGAATTTGAACTCGGCTCTCCAATTCCTCAATCCAAGCTGCTATCCATTACTCTACCAGTTTTATTATGAAATCACTGACTTTTAGAATAAAATCTGGCATATTAGCATTTTGAGATTTGTTATCCTCTTTTCTTTCCATCCGATAATTCTTCTACTCTGATTCTTTTAGCATATTCCTTTCTTTTCTGCTTTCCTTTTTCTTATTTTCTTTCTTTCTATTTTCTTGCTTTTCCATCTTACTGCCAATCTTACAGCAAGTGTCTCAGTCACCACTTCATTCTCCTCTCCAGTTTTAATCTATATTTTCACACTGAATGCCTCCTTTCAGGCTAACCAAGAATTCACCTCACCTTTTGCCTTTCTTCACACCTTTTTTTTTTGTCTTAAACTTACTGACTCTACAGAAGTCAGGTTTGATTTTTTTAATTATTTTTAAAGAACTCAATAAATTCCTTCATCTATCAGATTTCATTAAATAATAAATGACAGGAAATATACAGACATATAAAAAACAAAATTAGAAAAAAATAATTTTTAAATCATATTGACTGTTGTTATTAGTTTTACTCCATCTTAATGTTGCTTCAAGCAATAATAAGATGGAGTAAAACTTGTAATAAATTAATAAAAAAAAGTTTTAAAAATGTTTAATAAGCTCCTTAAACAATTTAAAGCTAGTTTTCCTCATTCCTAAACTTTCCTTCATTCTTTAAAATTCTTATATGAGTTAAGTGGAATCAATTTTTACAACTCAACACAAGATCAGTTTAAAATACTCAGCACAAGATCAGTTTATAGTATTCAATAGAAGATCAATTTAAAATATTCAATACAAGTTCAGTTTAAAATATTCAATATATGATCAGCTGGAAATATACAGTACAGGATCAGTTAAAAATATTCAGCGCAAGATCAGTTAAAATTATTAGACACAAGACCAGTTTAAGATATTCAATGCAAGATCAGTTTAAAATATTTAACAGAAGATCAGTTTAAAATATTCTATACAAGATCAGTTTAAAGCGCTCAATACAAGATCAGTTTAAAATATTCAACAGAAGATCAGTTTAAAATATTCCATAGATCAGTTTAAAATATTCAACAGATCAGTTTAAAATATTCAACAGAAGATCAGTTTAAAATATTCCATACAAGATCAGTTTAAAGTGCTCAATACAAGATCAGTTTAAAATATTCAACAGAAGATCAGTTTAAAATATTCCATACAAGATCAGTTTAAAGTGTTACAAGATCAATTTAAAATATCAGTTTAAAATATTCCATACAAGATCAGTTTAAAATATTTAACAGAAGATCAGTTTAAAATGGTTGATGTTACATCAATTTAAAATATGCAATACGAGATTAGTTTAAAATATAGAACACAAGATCTGTTCAAAAACTCCTCAATACAGTATCATTCTACTTTTATGTGCCTTGTCCCTTAAGGATGTAGGTGATCATGGCTCTCCACTTCCTCCTTTCACTTGTAGTCCTCAATTAAGTTTTGACTTTTTGCTACTTCTTCCAGACCCTGTTCTGTCATCTACTTGCTTAAGCCTGCTAGGTATATCACATGTTGCTTTCCCTTGTCTCTCTTTCCTTCTATCCACCCTGTGAATATCAGATTCTCCAAACCTTCCTTTCTCAGTATATGTCCCAGAAATTTCAGCTGCTTATTTCTGACGTTAAGTATGTTTCCTCTTTGTTTGCATCCTCTCCAAAACTTCATCATGGCTCACATGTTTGGTCCATGGTGTCCTTAGCATCCTTCTGTAGGATCATACCTCTGTTACCTTGAGTCTCTTCTTCATCTTTGAGGAGATCGTCCAACATAAAGGAGAGCAGATATCAAATATCAGTTCAGTACTCTTTTCTTTGTTACCAATGAAATCCTCCTGTTTTATAATATTCTGCTTAGCTTTTGGAATGTGTCTTTGCCCATCCGAATATGTCTTCGGATCTCTGTGTCACACTTACCATCTTCTGTCAGACCACTTCCCAGATATTTAAATTTCTGCACCTGCTTGATTTAGTCTCCTCGACCTGTACATCACATTTTGGGCTCATCTTTTTGCTGATGATCATACATTCTGTCTTCTTGTAGCTTATTCTAAGTCCCTTCTTCTCACTCTCCTTCACTCCTTTCTGTATGAAATTTTGTAGTTTCCTTTCCATGTCAGCACTGTGCCATTAGCATATCTTATTCTGTTAAGATTGTGGCCACCAATGATGAATCCTGGTAGGATTACCAGTTCTCTCAGAATTACCTTACTGTATAGGTTGAATAAGTCTGGTGAGAAGACACATCTTTGCCTTATGCCCCTTTCTATTTTTGTATATCTGATGAACTCATTTCCTATGCGCATGCAGGCTGTTTGCTGCCATTATAAGTTCTTGATTATTCTAATATCTTTCCTGAATATATCAAGGTTACTGAGCAGTTCCAACAGATCTTTCTGGTGTACTTTGTTCAACGCCTCTGCATAGTCTATAAAACATAGGTACATGTCCTACTGCATTTGTATTGCTCTTTCTGATAACATTCTGAGCATGAATATCATGTTCTTTGTTCTGGTGCCTTTGATAAACCCCCACTGTTCTTGTCCTATCTCTGGCCTGATTCTGCTGCATGCTCTATTCATCAGAATATGGATGATGAGTTTTGTTATTTGGCTCATTAGGCTGACTGTTCGATGGAGTTCACACTTGTTTGTGCCTAGTTTCTTAAGCAGTGCTATGAAAACAGATATTCTTAGATCTTCTGGTATATCTCCACTGTTGTAGATTTCATTTATTATTTCTGTAATTTTGTCTATGCCAAAATCATCTAAGGCTGTCAGCGTCTCTGTTACAGTTCTGTCTGGTCCTGACACCTTGTTTCTGTCCAATTTGGCTAGTGCAGATTCTACTTCTGTTTTTAGAATTTCAGGCCTGTTGGTAGTTCTGCGTATTGACGGTTGTTCTCTTTCATCGTGGAAGAGTTCTCAAATATATTCGTTTCAGTGCTGAAGAATTTTTGCCTTTTCTAATATGAGCATTCCATCCTTTGATTTTATGCAGCCTGTTGATGAGCATATCTTTTGTCCTGTTAGTTGCCTTATTTGTTTATGCATATCTATTTTGTTGGTGGTACTCAATCTCTATTTCTGCACAATTTTTTGTTTAGCCACTCTTCTTTAGCCTGCCTGCATTTGGTCCTTATTTCATTGTGTAATTTTCTGTATTCTGTTCTGCATCTTGGCAGAGTTTTCTGTCTCCTTTGCATCATGTCGAGAATCTCATCAGTGATCTATTCATTTTTCTTCTTTGTCTATTCTCCTTTGGGATGATATCATTTGCTGATGTCACTAAAGCTTCTATTAGTTCATACCATTATAGTATTAGTCTTCCTAAATGGCAGTGAATACTGGACAATCTCCTCATAGATGAAGAAGAAACTTCAAGCAAAAGGAATGTGGTTCGACAAAAAGATACAGAGAATACTATGGACTGAACATTTGAACAATGACCAAGTTTTAGAGAAAATGGAAACAAAAAGCAAACTTATAGTTAACATCAGTAAATATAATATCACTATTTACATTGTTCGGACTATCGTCCTCATCTTTGTTGCCATATTTATCACAACGTTTCGGCCATTGTACACTCCAGCATTCTTCAGTTGGTTGGAATGTCGAACTGAACCCTTTATTTTGCTGGCTGGGATAGACTGTTCTAGTTCCACATACCATATCTAATAGATGTCAGTTATCTCTTGTTAATTCCATTTTCTAAGTTCTCCACCACCTTAACCAGGTATTGAATTCACACTCTTTGTGTCCAGTCACTGGATCTAACTAATGCCTTTATCCATTGTGCCATGTTGTGATAAATATGTCAACAAAGATGAGGCTGATAGTCTGAACAATGTAAATAGTGTACATAATACCTTATCTCAGAAATATAGACAAATATAATATCAGTTTAAAATATAAAACACAAGATCAGTTGAAAATATTTAATATATTAGTTTAAAGTAATAAAACAGTGTATAAAAATTTTAAATATTTTAGCCTATTTTTTACAAAACAT